GACATATAGAAGAATCTACCAGCCCTTGGAACTCTCCTGTGTTTGTTGTTAAGAAAAAATCTGGTAAATGGAGAATGGTGACAGATCTTAGAGCTATCAACAAGGTTATTCAACCTATGGGCCCTCTGCAATCTGGAATTCCTCTGCCCTCCCTGTTACCAAAAGGATGGCCTCCATTAGTTATTGATCTGAAAGATTGTTTCATCACTATACCTTTACAAGAAAAAGATAGAGAAAAGTTTTCCTTCACAGTGCCTACTTATAACTCTCAGCCTACAAGGAGGTACCAATGGACTGTCCTTCCACAGGAAATGTTAAACTCTCCTACCCTGTGCCAATATTTTGTAAGCCAACCATTGAAAATTATATGCAAACAATTTCCCAAGTCAATAATTTACCACTATATAGACAATATCTTGATATCTGATCAAAACAAAGATACCTTAGAAAGGTTGTTTGAAGAAGTAAAAATAGTTTTACCTAAATGGGGATTGCAAATTGCTCCTGAAAAAAATCAGAGATAAGATTCTGTTAATTATTTAGGTTATAAAATAAGTTTACAAAGAATTAAGACACAAAAGGCACAAATCAGGAGAGAACGTTTATGAACTCTTAATGAGTTTCAAAGATTATTAGAAGACATCTCCAGCCTACTACCTGATCTAACCTGATAACACATGATCTAATAATTCATTTAAACAAAACCCTGGATGGTGATAAAGACTTGAACAGTCCCAGAGAATTAACAGCTGAAGCAGAAAAAGAACTCACAATGGTTGAAGAAAAATTACAGGAGGCTCATGTGGACAGGGTAAATCCAAAGCTTAGTTGTATTCTCATCGTATTGCCTTCCGGAATTTCTCCTACAGGAATCTTGATGCAAAGAGATGATATTATCTTGGAATGGATCTTTTTGCCACACAAACCAAATAAAAACTTAAAACTTATGTGGAAAAAGTCTCTGAATTGATTATAAAAGGAAAATTGAGACTTCGTCAATTAGCAGGTATAGATCCAGCAAAAATTATAGTGCCTTTCATTGCTGATGAGATAAAAAAAAAAGTTGTGGGAAGACAATGAACCATGGCAAAGAGCTTGTGCTAATTTTTTGGGAGAAATTAATTACAATTACCCAAAAAGCAAGAGACTTAACTTTATAAAGAGAACTTCTTGGATTCTTCCTCGAATCATCCCTGATGCTCCAATAACAGGAGCACGTACATTTTATACTGATGCTAAAAAATCAGGGAAAGCAGATTACAAATCAGAAGAATTGAGTAAAGTGGAACAAAGTCCTTGTGATTCTGTCCAGAAAGCAGAATTATATGCCATTCTTATGGTGTTTAGGGATTTTTAAAAACCTCTTAATATAGTTACTGACTCACAATATGCAGAAAGAGTTATCTTGCATATTGAAACTGCTGAATTTATACTTGATGATACAGAACTGACCTCATTGTTTATCCAGGTACAAGATATGATCAGGAACAGGTTTTGTCCTATGTATATAACACACATCCGAACCCAAACGGGTTTGCCAGGTCCTCTAGCACAAGGTAATGCATATATTGATCAATTATTGATTGGTACAGTGCTGCAGGCATCTGAATTTCATAAAAAACATCATGTCAATAGCAAAGGCTTGAAAAAAGAGTTTTCTATTACATGGCAACAAGCTAAGGAGATTGTAAAGAAATGTCCTACTTGCTCTTTTTATAACCAAACACCACTGCCTGCAGGGACTAATCCAAGGGGTACTCAAAGGAATGAAATTTGGCAGATGGATGTGTTCCACTTTGCAGAATTTGGAAAATTAAGATATGTACATCACACCATTGACACGTATTCAGGTTTCCAATGGGCAACTGCTTTAAGCTCAGAAAAAGCTGATTCACTAATCACTCATTTATTAGAAGGTATGGCCATCATGGGTATTCCTACACAAACAAAGACGGATAATGGTGCAACTTATGTTTCTAGGAAAATGAAACGGTTTTTTGCTTATTATAATATTAAGCATGTTACAGGTATACCATACAATCCTACAGGTCAAGCAGTTATAGAAAAATCAAACCGAACTATAAAAGATATGTTGAACAAACAGAAAGGGGTGGAAAATACTCCCAGGAATAGGTTACATAATGCTTTATTGAATTTTCTCAACGCTAATGAGAAGGGGACAATGGCTGCAGAAAGACATTGGATAATGGAAAAGTCCGCTGAATTAAATCAACCAATATATTTCAAGGATGTGCTGACCTCACAGTGGAAGCCAGATGTGCTGCGTTGGGGAAGGGGTTTTGCTGTTGTTTCCACAGGAGAAGAAAAATTGTGGATGCCATCAAAATTAATAAAGGTTCGGTTTGAAGAGGAGAAGCCTCTTGGAAGAGATAAATAACAACTCGTTCACAAGGATAATAATCACACCAAAGGTAAGAAAAATATATAGGTTGGGGGCAGGGTTCTCTTCTTGTCTCCCCAGGAATACACTCATTTTCAAAGAATTCAAGGGACCCTGGATATTTGAATAATGATGGATATAAACCATCTACGACCCAAAGAGGATCAATAATGAAACCAAATAGTTTAGGTAAGTATTACTATTTTTTAATATGTACTAATGTGCATTTATTTATAAATATGTAGAGCTGGTTTTGGAGTTGGACTATGGCTCAGTCCCTCTTCATGTCCAAGCCTGTTGATAAGAGATATCCCAGAGTTTCTGTCTTATGTCAAGAGCCAGGATATGGGACAAAATAATTATAATTGATAAATTTTCTTTGCCTTTCCCCACTTCTGTTTCTGTCTTTATTAATATATTTGTCTGTATATGTCTTCATAGATAATGTTTAACTTTCCCATAACAAACAATAAATTTTCCTGCAGTCATCTTTAAAGATTCTAGGATGAAGATGGGGCCCCACAACATCAACTCCACCTGGTTACTATGTCATAATGTTGATAGTGCTACTTTTAGACCTGTATTTTGGTACCAGCTACACAAGACAGTTCCGAATGATGCACAAAATTTGATAACACTCTGACCAGACCTCCTCAAATTACTCAGAGACTATTTGCAACTTTCTCACATCAAATGTTAATATTGGAATTTTGCCATCAATTATTTTCACAGGACCCCCTAAGAGAAACGTTGCCCCCATGACAGCTGGAAACAATTTTAGAGGACGACATCCCCTCTCCCAGTAGAATTTGCCCTCAGGTTTAGGGACATCATTTAGGGGTTGGTTATAATCGATAGGGATGAGAGAATGGGGGAGGTATTTTATAAGCTCAGGGGTGTTTATTATTAAAAAAAGGGGGAGATTGATTGGTGATGGGATAATAATATATTGGTATTTGTAAGTTATTGTTTTTAGAAAATTGTATTGGTGTTGATTTTTGTACATTGATATATTGAATATTGTATGTGAGTATGCTTCTACCTCTATTTGTATTGATATATACATATATTTATATTCCTACCTCTGATTAAGATATTTATGTAATGATATACATTGTTTACATTTGGAGGTCATTGTCCTCACTCATTGCACAGTTGTTCATTCTCTTAGTCTTCAAGTTAGATAGATAGAAATCAATAGTCATATATGTTTGTTATATTTATATTTAGGCTAATCAGGTTATTTAGGTGCATAGAGATCATATTTAGTATAGATAGTATAATCTTCAACTTCTTCGAAGAGCTGTAGAAAATGGCCTTTAATCTAACTCATAGTTCTATAGTAGTGAGACACAATCGCTCCTGGCATCACTGCTCTACTCCCGAGAGAACAGAACGTTGAGCACAAAAGACACTCCACTTGGAGCACGTCTTCTTCTTGGCAGAACTGGTCTTTGGGCAAAGAAAAAGCCTATACCTCGACCACTGACAGAATTACAGAATATCCGTAAATGGATAAAAGCAGGATTGTCTTATCTTGCCAAGACAGGGTGAGAGAGTCCTAAAAGGTTTCTTGCCTTTGAAAATGGCATGTCAGTTACATCAGGCCTTACCCAAAGTTGGTTGACTCAACATTGCAAACGAGACTTTGGATGATTGCCCAGGTATTCAGTTGTCTCTTCTATTTGTTGCACATTTCGGAAGATTCCGGGCTGCTTGAGTAAAATTATTTCCCTTCTCAGATCTTTGATGGAGTTGAAGATTAGACAGTTGTAGTTACCCTCTACATTATTTAGACTCCTTGAAATAGAATGTTTAGTAAAACTTTTGTTATATGCTTCTTGCTTAATATTGTTTGTTGTTTGCAATTTTAAATTTATTATTTGTTTCTGTTGTATATAGTGGTATTTGGTTTTGTTCTGTCTTATTTTAGAAAAAAGGGAGAGATGGTAGGGGAGTTCAGCCAATCACATTCTGTCTGTGGGGCGTGTTGCCCTAAGGCAAAAGTTTATCTATAACCTGGAGGGTGCATTCCCCCACCCTCTCTCGCTCTGGCCTGGATCCAGCATTCCGGATGGTTGGGATTCTGGTGTAAGTTTTTCCTTCTGTTTTATTAAAGCTATATCTTTTGTAAGATAATCTGGGGACCTTTTATTACCGATCGCACTGCGTCTTCAACTAGAAGGAAAACCCCAACCCAATGAAGTAATCTCCACCCACAAAAACACAGGCATCTCTTGGGAATATACCCAAGAGATGCCCTATCATACTACAAAAGCATTTGTTCAACTATGTTCATAGCTGCGCTATTTGTAATAGCCAGAACATGGAAACAACCTAGGTGCCCCTCAATAGAAGAATGGTTAAAGAAGGTGTGGAATATATACACATTAGAGTTTTACTCAGCAGTAAAAAACAACGACATCTTGAATTTTGCATGCAAATGGATGGAAATAGAAAACGATTTACTGAAGGCCCAAGATGGCGTCTCTTAGTGACAGTCTCATGTGAGCTCCGGCTGAGACTGTCCTTTGCCTGGTCTTTGAAATCTACACCTGGTCCCCATTTTTCTGGCTTGTGCGAGGCCCTGTAGAGGTAGACGGGCGATAGAGTAATGGCAGGGAGTCTCCCTTGGCTGGCAAGTAGGAGCTTGTGGGGCTGGATGCCCTTGGCGTGCAGAAGCTTCTCTCTGGGTGTACCACTGTTGACCTGTGTGAGGCTTACACTGCCGCCCCCGAGAGTGGTTGATCGCTGGAACGAGAAGAGGGCTCTGTTTGGAGTCTACGACAACATCGGGATCCTGGGGAACTTCGAAAAGCACCCGAAGGAACTGATCAAGGGCCCGGTATGGCTTCGAGGCTGGAGAGGAAATGAATTGCAGCGCTGTATCCGAAAGGAGAAAGTGGTTGGAAGCAGAATGTTCGCCGAGGACCTGCACAACCTTAACAAACGGATCCGCTATCTCTACAAACACTTTAACCCACATGAGAAGTACTGCTAGAACGGAGAACTGGGGACTTGGGAAGAGACGCGCTTGTCACCCTGGGGAAGGGAAACAGGACCTGTCCCTGAGAGGAAGCTCAGTGTGCTCTCTGTGATAAAATGGGCCTTCTTTGGGATGGGATATGCACACTGTATGTTCTCAGTGCTACTTTGCTCACTCCTGCAGACTGGAGTTTCTCATCCCTGAGTCGTAGGCTCTTCTGTTAAGACCTTACTTATTTACAACCCAATGATACTTTCAGCCTTAGAAGTACGACAATTAGAATCATTTATTGTTGGCTCTTTCTGACAGTGGCCCTTCATGTTTGTTTGTTTGTTTGTTTGTTTGTTTTAATGTAAGCATAGAGACAAAACCCAGGAATGTTCCCATTCTAGGGAAATGCTCTGCCACTGAGCTACCCAGCCCCTTGGAAGTGTAAAGATGCTGTTGTTTCTAAAAAGTGTGACACACCAAAATGAAGTGGGAAAGTGAAATTACACTTGTACTGCTCACATCAAAATAAATGAGGTTAACTTCTCTGAGTAGAGAAGTATTTCAGAGGATGACCTTGAAGAAAAAAAAAAGAAAACTCTTTACTGAGTGAGGTAACCCAGACCCAAAAAGAGGAATATGGTACGTACTCACTCGTAAGTGGATTCTAGCCATAGTTAAAGGTCTTTGAGCCTATAATTCGTGATCCTAGAGAAGCTAAATAAGAAGGTGAACCTGAAGAAAATCATATAGTTATCCTCCTGGATATTGGAAGTAGTCAAGATTGCAAGGCAAACTTGGGTGCACGGGGGGTGGGGGGGGGAGTTGGAAGTGAGGGGAGATGGTTAGAGAGAAGGGAGAGGGGGAGGATTGGGGATGGCGTGGGGGAATGAGATGGGGGGAGGAAGGATAGATATGGGAGCAGGCAAGTATATATATCAACTAAGGGAGCCATTTTAGGGTTGGCAAGAGACTTGATTCTGGAGGGGTTCTCAGGCCCAAGGAGAGGTCCCCAGATTCTTCCCTGGGCAGCAGAGGAGAGAGTGCCTGAACTGGCCTTGGCCCATAACCATACTGAAGAATATTTTGCATATCACCATAGAACCTTCATCTGGCGATGGATGGAGATAGAGGCAGAGACACATATTGGAACACTGGACTTAACTCCCTAGATCCAAATGAGAAGCAGAAGGAGGGAAAACATGAGCAAGATAGGCAGGACCAGAGGGAACCTTCATCCGACGATGGATGGAGATAGAGACAGAGACCCACATTGGAGCACTGGACTGAGCCCCCCAACGTCCAAATGAGGAGCAGAAGGAGGGAGAGCATGAAAAAGGAAATCAGGACCGTGAGGGATGCGTTCACCCACTGATACAAGGGGACTGATCTAATGAGAGCTCACCAAGGCCAGCTGGACTGGGACTGAACGAGCACGTGATCAAACCGGATTCTCTGAATGTGGCTGACATGGGGGCTGTCTGAGAAGCCATTGATAATGACACTGGGACTTGTTTCGTCTGCATGTACTGGCTGTTTGGGATCCTAGTCTGTTTGGATGCTCACCTTCCTAGACCTGGAGGGAGGGGGGAGGAACTTGAACTTCCCACAGGGCAGGAAACCCTGACTGCTCTTTGGACTGGAGAGGAAGGAGGAGAGGGAGTGGGGGGTAGGAGAGGGAGTGGGGGGTATGGGAGGGTATGGGGAGGAGGGGAGGAAATGGAAATTTTTTATAAACGAACAAATAAATAAATTAATTAAATAAAAAAAACCACAGGCATCTGATAACCCCCACCAGCATAACCCAAAGAAGGGAAACACACAAATACTACTACCAAAAAATAACTGGAATTAACAACCACTGGCCATTAATAGTGCTTAATATCAATGAACTCAGTTCATCTATAAAAAGACACAGGCTAAGAGAATGGATATGAAAACAGGATCCCACATTCTGCTATTTACAAGAAACACACCTCAACCTCAAAGACAGACACTACCTCAGAGTAAAGGGGTGGGAAAATGTTTTCCCATCAAATGGACCTAAGAAACAAGTGGGTGTAGCTATACTAATATCTAACAACATAAATTTCAAACTAAAATCAATCAGAAGAGATGGAGAAGGGCACTTTATACTCATAACAGGAACAATCCATCAAGATGTAGTCTCAATCCTGAACATCTATGTCCCTAATACAAGAGCACCCAAATATGTAAAAGGAACGTTATTAAAACTTAAATCACACATCAAACCCCACACACTAATAGTAGGAGACTTCAACACTCCACTCTCGCCAATGGACAGGTCAACCAGACAGAAACTTACCAGAGAAATAAGACAACTAACAGATATAATGAACCAAATGGACTTAACAGACATCTATAGAACATTCCACCCAAACAGGAAAGAATATACCTTCTTCTCAGAACCTCGTGGAATCTTCTCTAAAATTGACTACATACCCTAAAACAATGCAAACCTCCACAGATTAAAAACAAATGTAGTAACCCCCTGTGTTATTGGATCACCATGAATTAAAGTCAGAATATGACAACAATACTACTACCAGAAAGCTTACAAACTCATGGAATTTGAACAGTGAACTACTGAACCACCCCTGGGTCGAGGAAGAAATAAAGAAAGAAATTAAAGACTTCCTTGAATTCAAATTTGATTCTTTGGGCTTATGTAACTCATACTCCTACCTTATGAGCTATTGCCCCAACCCCACCCTTGCATGACTTTTGAATGTTGTTCTGGAGCACCATCCAATATGACCAACTAAGATTCAGTCGTCTCTGAACAAGGAATGTAATTTGTTTGGTACATTCAATACATTTGGTATAATTTTCTTATCAACTTGAAAGCAAATGGGTTTTCTGTAAAATTAAACGTCATTGACAAAAATCAAAGTATGGATAAGAAAATTTGGAACTGGGTTTATTTCTGCTAGCAAATATGACAATTACAGTAAGAGTTCAGACTATCTTAACAGGAAGCATAAGTGTCAACTTTGTAAACATTTGGAGAAAAGGAAAGCTTACAGCCATACTAATTTAAATCTGAAATACTAGGTCTACACATAAATTTTATGGTGCTATCTTACCTTTCTTAGTGGTCAGTCCAAAGTATTTGATTAAATGTGTGCCAACAGTTGTCAGAATACTTGTACAGTTGTCTTTGCTGATTGCTAATGAGTCTACAATGCATGCATTAGGATTTTGTTTGAGCATATCTGACTCTCATAGTTAATCTTTGACTGACTTTCAGCAGTCTACACCCATTTGCTTCTCTGTTCCTAATGAGGTTTTCATGAGATGTAGCAGATCTGAGGCATGCTGGACAAACAGTCTTTGTTATTTGCTCATGTAGTAAGCCGACATGGATGCATTCAGAAGCCAAACGGTATGTGAAAAAATGCATAACATGTGTAGATTTAGATCCTGATTCCTCAAGAAATAATAACCCTGATACATTCAGACAGACTATTTTACAAATTTTTTAATTTTTATTTTGTGTATGAGTTTTGCCTGAACATATGCATGCAATATTGTGTGCATTCTTAGCACCCAAGGAGGCAAGAGGGGGACTACTGATTCCCTGTAACTGGACTTAATTATGTTTTGTGAGCTTCCATGTAGATGCTGAGAACAAAATTCAGGTCCTCTACAAAAACAATAAGTTCTCTTAATAACTGAGCCATCTCTCCAGCCCCAGATTCTTTTTAAAAGACAGGATCTCACTAAGTAGTCCTAGCTATGTAACCTGGAACTTGCTTTGTAGATCAGGCTAGTCTCAAGACTCATAGAGATTTACCTACTTCTACCTTCCAAGTGTTGGATTAAAGGTATGCATCACCATGCCTGACTGGATAAGCAGTTTTATAGTACAACTAGTAAAATTTAAACTTTAGAGTTTTCATTTGCTTGAGTCTTGCATATACCCTAGAAAAGGGCCTGGTTATCTTATGTTGATAATTTTTGTACTATTATTATTTAAAATACATGATACATATTACAGAAACTGCAAAATCTATAAATCCTGAATTTCTTCCTGTCTTTGAGTGAGTTATTGTTGATTTGATGCCATTCTCAGCCTCACACGAATCAAGAAATGCCTGATAGACGTGATCGAGTCACTTCCCTTCCTGATGCACATGTGCACCCTTGTCTGAGAATGTACTATGCAGCTGGGCTTTGTGGTGGAGAGGAGGGGAAGTGAAAATTGTAACAAACCTAGCAGAAAAACTCTGAGGGAACATTTTTGTCTAAAATAAACTCTGGTATTTATTAACTTTGTTGGAAACCAAAAAAGAGGGAAGGAGAGTAAAGAAATTCTACTTTTATAAGCAGCAAAGGTGAGTGGAGTGGGTCTTCTTAGGCATTGACTATCTACATGATGTTAACATTTTTTTATGTAAGATTCTGGCATTGTTATTAGATATAACTTTTTTAGACAGTCTGAACTCACTATGTAGTCCAGGCTGAACTAGACCTTGTCTCTCTCCTGCCTCAGTCTTCTGGACTCAGTCTGCTGGGATTATATGTATGTCCATTTTTGGATATACATATATATTATATATACATTATATTTAATTAAAACTTTTCTATTGTGACATTAGTTATTTTGTTCAATCATTCTACCCAACACACACCATTTTGAGATTATGTTGAAATTGTATAAACGTTTATGGGTGACAATCTTGAGAACTGGGATTCAGATGAGAATTTATTTTAGTATACATGGTGTGATGACTATTCTTGATTGTCAACTTGACTATCTCTGGAATGAACTACAATGCAGAAATGGAGGGAACACTTGTGATAGACTTTCTGCCTGGTTTGAAGTAGACAAATCCACTTCTAGTCCTGACCTTTGAGGAGGAAGACACACCTTTAATCTGGATCACATCTTCTGCTGGAAGCCTATATAAGGACATGGAAGAACAAGGCAGGGAGGGAGGGAGGAAAAGAGAGAGAGAGAGAGAGAGAGAGAGAGAGAGAGAGAGAGAGAGAGAGGTTTATTC